TGATGCTTTATGTCATGTTTATCCTAAACTGGAGAAGATCCACAAACTTTCTAAACATCATTGTAATTAGTCTCCTCTGACTAGAAACTACAAATTAATTGGTTAAAACTGTCAAAACAGTGTCAAACAAACATTTGCTGGTACTCAGTAGTAAGTCGTTTCTGCTTTCCTGTATCACTGACAAAATCTGAAGAAATCTTTTGCTGGTCTCGGCGCATTTTTTAAGATTGTGTAGACACTTGGCACAAACGAATATATGACAGTCTGTTGGAAGTGTTCGTACAAAACACCAGCTTAAGAGCAGAGCTTGATTTGGTTTCTGATTTAAAACCACAAAGACGCCTCCTTTGGTACAAGCACAACGCTGCTTTGTTTCACTGTGCAGTTCTTCTCTGTCTCACTTGTCCGGTTTCTTCCCCGTTTGTCTACGTAGCAAACAGAAGGTTTCAAGAAACGCTGGTTTACCCTGGACCACAGACGACTCATGTACTTCAAAGACCCACTGGTAGGACATGTTGACACACAAACGTCTGCACACATCAGAAAGACCTTTATATAGTTGAGGCCTGTAGTTGCTGCGCCGGTTTGATTTTTAGACCACAGAATACCAAACGGGGAGTAAAAATGTTGGTAATCTTGTGCTCTGAAAAGGTATAAAAGAGCACCATGGAGAGTGGGGGAGGGTTTATTCCCACCAAGAAAATTAGATTAAGTAGACGACGTTGGGAATGTGAAGTCATGACTGGGTTGAATATAATATACTTTCATTCCCAGGGTAATTATTCATATGGCGCCATGACCTCACAGTAAGAACCCTGGGAGTAGAGTTAAATGCCACCCTGCAAAAAGCTGCGCTCCCACAGACAGCACAGACTTTAGCACAGTAGAAGTGAGACTGCTTTGGGAGATTCTGCATGATTAGAGTGAATTTCTATTGCAGTGGTGATCACAGAGACTTTGCCAGAGGCCTTCAGATTGCCCAAGTCTTGGCTAAACACACATCAAATAGCCCTGATCAGCAGCAGCAGCTCGGCATTGTTGCTGATGTAAAAGTTCAATGGAGAGGTGCAATAATTATAGGTGCTAAGTGACTGAAATGTCCCGCTTACGCCCCGAGAGTGTTGGACAAGAAAAAACTGAAAGATGAAAGAAAGAGGAAGTGTAGTGGAGCAGAGTGTCGACGGGGAATATGTGGAGGAAGCTGCTTGAAGCGTGTAATTTGATCATTTGGATTGTAGCTAAATTATGCATGTTGGGTAAGTGTGTACGCAATGATTCACCGTGTTTGTAGGAGCAATATGTTCACACTTCTGTTTACAATAAAGTGAGATGTGTCTGCTTTTGGTCACAGTGGAATAAAATACAGAGGGAATCAAGTTTAAATATATAGTAGCACAGTCGCTTGAGGTGTGTCTGAAGTCTTGTGTCTGTTGGACTCTAACCCAGATATACTCTGCAAATACCCTGAACAGTACAAGACCAACATTTCCCCAGTTTGCTAGGATTACACACATGTAAAGGGTTCATCACCTCAGAGGAGGACGGTTTCAGTGGACTGTTAAAAAAAAAAAATAAAAATCTGAGCTACATTATAACAAAAGGTTTTTTTTTCCAGCTCATAAAAACAAATATTTTCAAATTTGTTTTCACCCTTAAAAAGAATGTGGTTCATCCTGAGTTACTAAATTTCACGTCAAAAATGAGAAGTGGCACACAAGGAAATGTCAAACACAAAACAAGGCAACTTTATGAAGCATAAACTAGTGATTTGGTTTTGATGCACTCTCCGAAACGCCTCAGAAGGTGTCATTTAATAAAGGAGGGGGCTTGTATAAAAGCTGTTTAGATGGAAAGCCAATATATGTGTAATTGTGTACACACATAACATACATATACACACACACGTCAACACAGAATGAAAACTGGATATAGCCCTGTACATACAAAAGCCATCCTGGGTAGGGATCGGACGCTATGCTTTTATCAGGGCCAGTACTGATTATTGGTAATCAAGGAGACCAATAACAGATATTTGGAGCCAGTCATGCAAATTTTGAACATTTCAAAACCTCTTCCTTTAATAATCGCGGGCTTATCAATCAATAGCACAGAAATAACAATGGGTATCATCCTGACAGCTGCTTCATAAGCACTCCAGTGGCATAGATTATTAGCCACTAATCCACTGTGATGCCATCTTAGCACACTTCAGCTACCAAAGGAGACCTCTGGCTGGTAGGAAGTAAGCACCACAGAAGACTTTCTCATGATGGCTCTTAAGGAAAATGAGAATGGTGCATTAACATTCTGAAGTATAGATTACCTTTCACATGCATCCTTAACAGTAGTCAACAAAAATATTGGTGAAGGAGCCATGGTCCAAATATCTGTTATTGGTCTCCTTGATTACCAATAATCAGCAATGGCCCTGACAAAACCATAGTGTCCGATCCCTACTCAGGATGGCTTTGGTATTGCATACTGCTCTTGGTAAGCCTGCTTTTGCAGAGTATATCAGGGTTAGAGTCCAACACAGACCCACATTCGGTAAGACTTCTTACTCAAACACACCTGGAGTGACTATTTAAACTTGGTGTCACTACTGGTGTCATTATTGTATGACAACAACAAAACCTTTGTTACTAGATACGTTGTTAGAAACTCCTTCATATCAAACTTACCCTAGTTGGTCATTATTAGGCAGAGATATGAAACAAAACATAAATGCTCATGCAGTGAACTCCCTTAGTTTACAGTAATATAATAAAATATGGCTCTCAAATGCAGAATAAAGAATTTGTTCTCTGCAGCTGATCTCTTTATCTTCTTGTTTAAAGGATGCTTTTGCCAAAGGGGAAGTTTTCTTGGGGAACAGGGACCACGGTTACAACGCCTCCCCCGGCCTGCCTGCTGGCACCCACTGCAATGGTGCCTGGCAACACGGCATCACCATAGAAACACCTGACCGCTGCTTCCTGTTTACCTGCGAGACAGAGAGTGACCAGCAGGACTGGCTGAAACACTTCACTGATGTCATGAGTGCTCAAATGTCCCCTCAGGAGTACACAAGTAAGAATTTTATGTAGTCACGAAATATGTCTTGGCTTTTAGCTTATCGCTTGAGCTGCTGATTACTTCTTGTGGCTGATATTGTTTCTTTAAAGGTCACATCACAGACCTGCCCTGCTCCAAGGGAGCACAGTGGAAAGAATAAGTCACAAATGTTAATCAGCACAGATGAAGGAAAGACTGTTTTTTGCAATTTAGTATTAATTACAAGGGAAACTGAAAATGTGTTCGTCACTAAAGTTGTCTGACTGCTTGAAGGAAACGTACATGCCATTAATTATAGGAATTTATGCAGGCACTGGATACTGGAATAACTTCACTCTCAAGAGTCATTTCCACTGATGTGAGTTATCCTTATATCTAGACTATCAGGAAAGTCTGTTGGACTGAAGTAAATATTTGCAACCGTGTGTTTTAGAAGCTTGCAGGTAAACAGTACGACGCCAGTCATCTTGTTTGTTGTTCTGACTTATATTACACAAGTTTTCATTATTTTGATGCATCAGTTCCAGTAAAACTTGGGGAAAAATAATGACTGTTATGTAACCTGAATATTCTGGCTATGATCATTTTTTAAAATATCACAGTGCTGTGTTTGTTCTCGTAAACTTTATTTACCAGTTTCTGAAACCTGAGGGCTGTACTACGACGTCAGTTTGACACAGCCAGGCTTTCTTTGTGTAAACCGAATCGACAAAACCGAAAGCCCCAGCCAGAGATTACGGGTATCACGAAGGTGGTTATCAGCTTTCTTTGTCAACTCAGACTTTCTGCTTCAGACTCTGTGAGCGTTCACATAAAAAGGAACGTTTAACGCATCACTTCTTCTGCACAAAATGAAACGATTGTGTGCAGCTGCTTCAGTCAAGAAGTCGTTATAGTTGTGACGGTAAAAAGCGCTGCTACTGCAAATGATGAAGACAGGAATACTGATAGAAAACTGTTAAACGTGTTAATATATAATATTTTACCAATGCAGCTGCTTATTTCCAACTGACAGCTGCACGTTAAAGTTAAACTTCATACATTTAAACTCTGGCTTTAAGCTCAGCATACCTCGATAACCCACTAATCTCGCTTCAGAGTACAGCCCTTTGAAAAAGCCCTCATCCCAGTTTTGAGAGACTTGATTAGCCCGAGCACTTCAAGCGAACGGTTGCATATTTACATCCTGTCCTGGTTTCTGACTGCTACAGACCACCTGCACAGCCGTGGCTTCAGCCCAATGAGGTAACAAACAAACTATCTGGATGGCTTCCTCAAACCTTTGTCTGCTGTACTGCAACAAAACAAACGATTTTTTTGACTGAGCCTCTGTGAACACCAAACTGGTTAACAACCAGACCGCACAGTTTGTACGCTTTGGCTACTCTCATAACTTGGAGGTAACAGAACTGTTGTTCATACTTCTGTTTCTGGATAACCTATCTGGTGAAAAGACACTCTTAAATTACTTTAATGCTCTGCCTAATGATAGCCAGATCATGACATGGTTAAAAGAGGAAGAAGAAGTCTGAACTTGTCAACACATTACAGCACCATGATTTTTTTTTTTAACCTATTCCAGCTCAAAGGAAGTTCAGGTCAGAGCGCAGGTTCAGCTGTGATAAGATCCCCTAAATAGAGTCTGAAGTAGATGGCAATGCCTAAACTTTATGGGTCTTGGGGCTGAAAGGGCAAATTTCATCATCGGCACTAGGATTCTCCTTCTGTACAACACAAGTGTGACAACCAGGAATCTGAACTGCTAGACCATCAGGGAATGTTGACATCCCTCATTTGTTATGGGTTCTTACTCTTGAAGTAACAAGGTAAATGTTAAGGCAAAAATATGTTGGTGTTTGTCCAACATGTCCACTGTGTTCTTGTCCAGCATGTTAGCAGATATGGTAATGAGCACTGAATGTTATCATATCATGGGAATTTCTATTACGGCAGGTCTGGAAACCAAAGTGCAGCCACAGATGTGAGGTGTTCAAAGGAATTTATTAAACAATACAATTAAACTGAAACCAATACAGAGTACGGAAAGTAACCGAGGGGGGTGAAACAGAATGGGTTAAACCAGACTTCATACAAAAAAGGGACGAAAATACAAAAACCAGGGAGAACTCAAAACTTAGAACAGAGAAGAAACATAAGAAATCCTAAGATGAATTACCTAAGCTGAATCAACAAGACGGGGATGCTCACGGGACTGGGGGACTAAACTGAAGGGGGCAGAGAGGCTCAGGGAATCCGTGGTCTGGCGAGGGCCAGGGAAAAGCTGGAGCAGGGCTGTCGGCAGGGACAGTCTGGTTGTGGCAGGATTGGGGCAGCGACTGTATCGTAGTTGCAGGGGTTCAGGTAGGAGACAGCTGGGGGACTGGGCAGGGAGACGGGGTTTCATTGTCTATGGCAGGGGTCTCCAATCCTGGTCCTCGAGGGCCACAGTCTTGCATGTTTTAGATGTTTCCCTCTTCCAACACGCCTGATTCAAATGATCAGCTCATCATCAAGCTCTGCAGAAGCCTGATAATGATCCTGACCCTGGTCTATGGTCTGGCAGAGAGTGGTGGAATGAATCGGGCTTTTATGGGACGAGCGTGATTGAGAACAGGTGAGCTGATCCCTGCAGCCGTCTCCAATGCCTGCAATTAAGCAGGCTGCGATCTGTGTTGGATGGACTGTGAGAGGGGGAGCAAGGGGGAGAGAGAAGGAGGAAGAAGAGAGGGAGAGGCCAGGGCTGAGGCTGAGGCTGAGGCTGAGGCTGGAGGTTCATGACAATTCCATTAGTTTTGCAGGTATTTGGTCAGAAATCAAAGTATTGGACACATTAAAATACGTGACCTGCTGATATATGAATTATTAGTCATACAAAAGGGCTTGTCTGTATCGGTACCTTTTTTTCCTAACTTGTGGACTCTTGTGTGTTTTCAAGTGGAGGCCTTGTTCAAGCACAGACATTGATGGACCGGCGGGACCATTTCCTCTCCTCTCCGCCCATCACTGTCCTGACTCGGGACCCACAAAAGTTCTGCCACTGACCTGAAATCTGACCTTCATCACCACTGTGGTCACACCGGAGCTTGTTGCTAAATCCCAGAGCGATGGCCGGGAGATTAGGAATGCAAACAAGAGGACCAAGGCAACACTGATTGGTACATGAGAAGAAAACACTTTCATGCCACATTGATATTTGACTTTAATTTGGCGGTGACTTGCTATTGTTTGATGTTTGCACACATAAAAGATCACTTGCAAATCTTTTTCCTTTCCGTTGGTCATGTTTGAATGCCGAGCCGGTGTTCTTTGGTGATAGCACTGCCTTTGTGCCAGGAGACTTAAGACAGAAAAGGATGGATCCTGACTAAGTTTAAAAGCCTAAAACAGTATTTATTGTACATTAAATGCAAATTCTAAAAAGCCTTGAAGGTGAAAAGTGCCTTGGTCCTCTTGTATTGTGTGTCACTGATGATTGGTTACATGCTATTCGGGTTCATGCCTCTTTTCATGGAAGAGATTTTGATATGACACAGTGGGAAAAGCACGATGGCTGCATTCCATTTAGCTGCTAGGGTCCTGGTGTCGTGCATGCTGGCTCACTGCTGTTAAATGGAGCTGTGTTGTTTTTTTTTTTTGCTATGACACTTCAAAATATCTGCTGTGAAAAAGGTACAGGGGTCCAGCCCCAGGTGCAGGCCGTGAGGACAGAAATAAAGCTTGTTCCATTCCCTGTGGTCAGGGGTAGATTGGCAATTATTCTACTCAACAGCAACGTTGCTCATTGGTTGTTTATTGAAGCTTTTAAACCACTCGTCATGGACTCGTACAAGACCAAACTTTATTTTCTTTTATCTTCCAAGCCCAGTAATATCTTCAGACATGCTACGATACAGTTTTATCATGAATTCAACATGTCATCAATGGTTTTGTAAGTTTTCTTTTTTAGAAAACTGTATTTAAGCTTCCGTTAAAGATGTACAATGACAATGAAGCAGATTTGTAAATGCGCCGGGACGGAAAAGATGGAAACACTACAAAATCCTGGATGGTCTAACAGCACCTCCATGTGGCATAAAGAACATATACTAAGTGTTTGTTAAAACACGCAGTAATCTTTTTATGTTTTTTTCTCAGCTGACAGTTTTAATGGTACTTTTTTTCCCCCTTTTCTTTTTCTTCTTTCAGTTTAACAGGTACTCATGTTAATGTGTCCATTTATTTTAAAGGTGTTTCGATGTTTGGCTGATTGAGATAGAATATGAAATTATTGATAACCCTAAATAAAAAAAGAATATTTCTTCCAAATGTTGTCAAGGGTTTTCTTTTCAGAACTGTGTGGATTTGGTAGCATTAAGTCATTTTAAAAACAGTTTACATGATCCTCTTCTTCAGATGTCACACTGACTTAACTGCTGAGAAATTTAGAGCTTGTGTTACTTTTAAAATAAGCAGAAGTTGTACTCGTTTTGGGGAATGACCCCGACTTTGCTGATGCACATGTGTTTGGTTACCTCATGTGTTTGTAGACGGCTGCCCCTGCCAGCGATTTCTGGGTGTCTAAAACTACACCTCAGTGCTCACAGACAGCAGGTTGAGGCCCGGGAGGAATACCACATAAATCTATAGGCCCATGCTAGTTTTTCACCCTGGTGAGAAAGAGGGAGGACAGAGGAGAGAAGGGAGGAGAGGACCGTAACCAAGAAGACTCCCAAGGAACGAAGACGCAACAGTCTTCTATCAAAACTGGGAGATAACGTGGGGCTTGAGATTCAAGAAGAAAGCGAAGGCTCGGCTTCTACCGAGTGAATTCACGGAGAAGAGCTGCGGGGGAGCATCATGAATGAATTGGATTTAACAAAGGATCTGTATCTGAATGTTCTCATTAGGACAGAGGGCTGTACAAAGACGAGATGAACGCTGACTGGATGCATTACAGCTGCTGACTCAGTCGTCCTTTGTGCAATTTGGACAAGGAGTTATTAAATATATGAAAGCTACTCAAGACGCTAATGTAGAAATCAGGAGAGAGTTTCTTTCCTCTGCCGTGGAGTCTGCTCTGGAGATGTCTTCTCAAGCACATCTCGGCACTGCAGGATCTTGCCATCGAGGACTTTGAACACAGTTTGTCCGGCTGAAAGGCAGTGCGCCTCCCTGCTGCTCCCAAATGACCCATGTCAGATCTACTTCAGCCCAAAGCCCGACAGAGAAATCCTCGTACTCTGTAACTGAGAACACCTCTCACGTCCGAGGTGTCTCGATGGCTTAAATCTTTCCTGGAGGCTTCATGGCTGTGTCGATTTCAGAGATGTTCGGGATCACGAGTGTGTTGACGACCTTATATTTGGGAATAAGCACTGCAAGCTACAAGCAGCTGTAGTCACTGATGCTTTTAACCATGTCAGTGGTTCTACTTTCATCTCCTCTGTGGATTAACGGAGTTGTCGTTGCACCGACAGCCCCTGTACGTTTTCTCTTGGATTTAGTTTAAACAAGGTTCAATCAAATCTCATAAAGTGACAAGCAATGTTTGCTCTTCACAGAAAAGTTCATTTGACTGTTTCTACGCTCCACTGCCATCTTCATTCTGTATTTCACCAAACACTGTGAAATGTCCACACAGACTTGAAAGCTTTTATTTTTTGTAGGAACCACCGATCAAAGAGTTCTGCGTCAACACTGGAGCCTGACCTTTGATCTCTGATCTTTAAACCTGCCATGAACTTCACTCTTAATGCCACCATCACTCCCCAGCTGGGCCTGAGCCTGAGCCCAGGGGCTGGAGATGGAGAGTCCCAAGGGGGTGGTGGTGGTGGTTCTGGAGGCAGTGGAGGCTTGTGGGTGACGTCCCTGCTTGGCGCCACACTGATGATCATGTGTGCCATGGGTGTGGCTGGCAACACATACACGCTCATCATCACGCGCTCGGCCGCATTGCGACGGACGGGTTCTATGTACGTCTACATCGTTAACCTGGCGCTGGCTGACCTGCTCTACCTCTCCACCATCCCCTTCGTCGTCTGCACCTACTTCGCCCACGATTGGCTGTTCGGCGAAGCCGGCTGTCGCATCCTGCTGAGTCTCGACCTCCTCACCATGCACGCAAGTGTCTTCATTTTGGTTGCAATGAGCCTGGAACGCTACCGCGCCGTCGCCAGGCCCTTCAGCGCTCACAGGTCCTCATCCCGCAACCGAAGGCTGGCCGCAGGGATTATCTGGGGGTTGGCGTTCGTGCTGACGCTTCCCATGATGGTGATGATTCGACTCAGGGAGGGCAAACCCACTGTGGCTGGTTTGGTTAAGAGAATCTGCTTCCCAACCTGGACCCAGGAGGCCTTCAAGGCTTATATCACTGTGCTGTTTTTCACGAGCGTTTTAGTCCCTGGATTGGTAATCGTTGGGTTGTATGCAGGGCTAGCCAGGCGCTACTGGGCAGCGCAGGCGAGCTTAGGAGGTAGCAGCCGCTCTGTTCGGAGGAGAGGACTCAAACAAAAAGTTGTATCGATGATCTTTAGTATTGTAGTCGCTTACTGGGCGTGTTTCTTACCTTTTTGGGGATGGCAGCTAGCCAAACTCTTCTCTCCAGAGTCCCTCAGGGCTTTGTCTCCAGCCGCTCACAATTATGTCAATTTCTTTGTAACATGTCTGACCTACGGGAACAGCTGCATCAATCCATTTCTTTACACTCTACTGACCCGGAACTATAAAGACTACTTGGCCCAGAAAGGTCAGTCTGTTGGGTCAAGCAGGGCTGATCCTGGGTCAGTTGTGACGACGCCACTGCAGGAACTTTAGTGGATGAGCAACACGAAGCCACGAAAAATTGTTGACTTCTCCGCCCAAGAGAGGACATCTGGTTCTACATTGCAAATTATTTTAAGCTGGGTCAACCTGCTAATAATTTAATCAAGTTGTTTTAAAACACAGAAACAGCTGAGTTAAATTAGCTTGAGAATACATGTTTAATTAACGTACAACATCAAGCTGGATCAACAATCCTTCCATTTTTATTTCTTCAGTTCGAAGCGTTAGCTCTTCTTTTGACATGAACTTACAGCTGAGTACATGCACAGTGACTTATGGAAGTTCTCTATGTGACTTTGATTAATTGCAAGTTTGGGGAGGGTGGGGTGGAATTTCATACTAGCCTTCATTGTGTTTTACATTGTTGTCATTATTATAAGTAGGAAAAAGCAAAACATAATTTAACATGTACTGAAGACACACAGCAGGTTTCAATAATTAATATTTCCTTCAAAAAAAACAAAGCAGCGGGGTGTCTGCAGAGTTTTAACTCGCAAACAATGCATGCCGGGAAGTCTGCTAATGAGTTCTTTAGAAACTGAATTAAATAAGCTGAAGCAGCCCTCTGCATTCCATTCTCTCAGCTCATCACAACAAGTCAGAAGACTTCAAGGAGGAAGCGCTGCATTGTATTTTACAGTCATTTTGTACAGAACTGAAAAGTGTCGTGTGTAGCAGCTCAATCTTCGTGGTGTGATGCTACATATTCCCTGCTCTGTTAAGGACTGAAGCTCGGCACAGCAGGTGGATGTTTTCTGACATTAAAGTGGGACTGCAGGTTCTCTAATTGGAGGGCCGACAGCACAAATGAGTGTTCTCTATTTTATCATCGAACACATATCTTGACATGAACAAACTCTGCCTGATGGTATCATTCTGACAAATCTGCCACCAATATTTGTGTTCAAATGTGAGTTACTTTTAAATTAAAAAAGATCTGAGTCAGCATTGAAAAGTTACAAACTGGATTTTTTTTTTTTAAATAAAAAGATCTAAAACATTTTGGAAAATATATTGATCACAAAAAAAAAAATCAGTGGAATCAAAAGTAAAGAACTGCTTGACTTTTTCCTTCACTGCACTATTTTCCATCCACCTCACACACACACACATATAAAGGGTATTTCAGCTCCCTGCAGGGAATGTGGTTGCATTGTGCGACATTCCTCAGCGTTGGGACACTGATCTTTTGAGTCTTCCTGCAAATTGTCTCTGTCAGATGAAGAGGTGCTTCATCTCACCCTGCTGTGTATTATCACTCTATTTGCATTATCCTGTTTTATCCTCTTTGTTTGTCTGCTCTTTCCTCACAGTCCTTTCAGTATATTGACCAAATTCTTACTGCAGGCCTTCATAGTCGATCCTTATTTATAGTTCCAACGTTTCTCTTTAGATTGTGAACTTTTCAGATTTAGTATTTTTTAACCGAAACACATTTTGCTCACTTTGTCATAAAATGTTTGTAATGCAGATGAACTAACAGCTCAGTGATAACAATTGTGATGCCGCTACCAGTTGTGTAGGAATGTGTATTGTGTCACTCACATGTGTGCGTCTTTGTGTTTGTGCATGTGTTTATAGAGCACACAACAGACAAAACAGGAACACAAACATTATTATTGCACTTATTGCCTTACAGTTCCACCAGTGATCAAGAGTGGAGCTGATATGAAAACTTCAAACCTGTGCACTTCTGCCCTCTGGTGGCCGAAACTTGTAAAACACACTTCCAGCTAAATGCCTTCCTCCTGTCAGTTATGAGATATTTTTGCATTGAAGCCCAGACAAGGGAAGTTATGTTTGTTTGGAACATTGCTGAAGTCCTTTGTTACCAACAGTTTCGATGACCAGACTGAACATGATGATGACTTGATCGGTCAACTTCATTCTGAATCAGAGGCAAGTTGCTTTTAGAAAATAACATGTTCCAAAATCAGTTGGCTTTATTTGAAAAGGACATTTGATGAGTATTTCATATCACGTTCCACCATGCATGTGCTGCATTTATTTTCATTACGTATGCTGCACATCTTTGGCAGAAAACTCCTTGAAAATCTGAATTTCTCACGTGGAACACGCGTCACTACATGTCACAACATAAAGGCGCACATGTGAAACACGTGATGCCATGTGGAGCACATGGGAAAAACATGCCACTGCAGGTCACAACATGTGGAGCACGTGTGGAAAATGTTTCCACATGTTGTAATGTGTGGTAACATGGCACAAGTTAAATGTTGCACAATTTCTAAGTTTCCTAAAAACACTTAACAAGTGCAGTAATGTGGACGGTTTCTGCAGGTGCAACAGTCAAAGAGAGGAGAAGGAAACTTATCTGAAGGAGGGATGAAGCTTGCAGTCGCACATGTGAAACTCGATATTATGACAATATTAGATGTAGAACTATATTCTCATATGAAACCTATGGAATCACAATAGATATACAGGTGAGACACGGAGTCCAGTGAAACTTGCATTCACTCCTCCCCTCTTTGCCAAAACCCATCTCTCTCTCTGTCCTGCTGCTGCTGTGTATTGTGTCTGCTGGACTGGTGTCTTTCCCTCTACATGAGCCATGGGTAGCGTCAGTGGTTAAGATCTTGAGTTACTGATCAGAAGTTTAGGCTTCAAGCCCCGGTGCTGCCAAGCTTCACCCAGTCTGCTCCAGAAGCGCTGTAGTGTCACCTTGTTCTCTGACCAATGACTTGTGCAAAAAGATCACATTTGCTTGTAAAGTAGATTTTTTTTCATGTTTCACGTGTTTGTACACATGAGGTTTCACATGTGCAAAAACACGTGCACATGCAACCACATGATTTTCCACATGTAAAATCCATGTAATGGGTCTTAAACATGGTACTCATGGATTACAGTATTACTAAGGAGCCTGGATGTTATTATTACTGTTTTAAAATGATCTGCAGAAGCACTACATCAAGTACAGAGAGCTGTGATGTGAGCAGAAGCAGCAGTAATATTACAGCAGATGTGTCTTCACTTCAGCTGTAGAGGGAAAGCTATTGAATCAAATATGATAAAACTTGTCCTCTAACATAGAAAACGGTCTTTGGCTCATGTGTCAGTTTATTAAAACATCCAAATGTCACGAAAGAACACAGTTTCAGTTTCTAAGCCAACTGCCTGTGGGATAAAAGAAGAACGGATAAATAGCATCATCTTAGCTTTGCTACCATGGTTCCTACCTGCACCAGGGTTAGGGGCAAAAAATAAAAGATAGTGAAACACTAATGCGTGTTAGCGACAGTCTTTCTGCAACCTTCTTTTTTAAGATTGTACTGATCATCTCACTCATTCGGCTGGATTAGAGGACTGAGCAGGTTGTAGTCCAATCAGCCGTCAGATCAGTAGGAGCAGGAGGGACGACGGAGCAACTAATCAGGGGAGGTGACTCGTATGTAAAGTTGTACACAAAAGAGATTATTGCCACAGAAGGGGAGAACGAATGCAGCGGCCCACCTTCTCAGAATACAAGCCTATCCTGGCCACTTCCTTCTCTGGAGGTGACTTGACACCAGCCTTCAGGGTTTCCGGGGACAGCCTCAATGTGCTGGTCCAGATGCTGCGCCAAGAAAAAGCCCATGGACGGAGTCATGAGCTTGGGGTACTGGTCACGGTGTACTGGCTTGCCTGTGGAGCCTCCTACCGTGTGACAGCTGACATCTTTTCAGTGCCACAGGTGGCAGTCTGCCAGGTCGGTCACAGGGTTATGGACGCAATGACGAGCATCCTCCACAGAGTAATATGCTTCCCCAGACAGGAGGACATGGAGGAAATTGGGGCCCGCTTTGCTCACCTGACTGGTCATCGGGCATTTTGTCGTTCTGCTGGGGCCATTTATAGTTGCCATGTCAGAATTGTGCCTCCTGCAGAGCCACAGAAAGTCTGCCATGTCAACAGCAAAATGTGCAACCTTAACACACTCTCTGGCCAAGACTATCAACACACGAGGTACAAATAGGAAGACTGGCTTCCAGCACCTGCAGATAAAAGATGTTGTGATTGGTAAGTCTGTCTTGAGGCTGACTCAGTTGGACTACGCATTTTTTATAGCTGGATTTAAACCGCAGGTCTTAAAGCCCAATTTCAAAATTTTTGCCCATATCCGATTTTTTACGGATTGCCATGCAAAGCAGTTTTCTGATGAACGAATGAGAAAAAACCAGCCATTACGTTTTTTTGATAAAAATTTTAATGTTCTACTAGTTTGTGGCGAAGTGGTCCAACCAACAGCCCACTATTCATGTCACAATGCGACTTTGAAGTTTGTCCCATAATGGTTTTGAAAATTTAGTGGCAAACTGGGCCAAGCCACAGGAACTGCTGACCGCTATATTGCAGGTAGTTGCACGTGTTTGCAATTCAAGATGGCGGACAGAGCAACCTCAAACCCCGTGACAATGTAGATACGGTAAGGTAAAATAAAACTTAATTAACCATCACCAAGCATCTATTTCTACCCCATGGTCCTCAAAAGTATCTCTAGTTCCTTATGACGATCTGTGTAAACTCTTCAGTGCTGTTTAACAAGACAAACCTGGAATCAGTGCATGCATGTGGCTCCTCCAACAGTCGGGATTTTTTTAAAAAAAAAATTTAAGCAATACAAAATTTTGCCCCATATTTCTCTAAAACTAATAAATGTGGTTTGGCCCAATTTGGCACTAACCCCCTCAATTATACCTTTGTTTTAGATTTCAAACTGCGTTGTAAGAATATTGTGAAGATTTAAGAACATATAACTACACCAACAGTCCTTTAAAATATTTAAAATCACACCATCTGTGGAAATTGTGCAAAGTGTGCTGTATCTGTGTGCCAAAGAGAGAAAAAATAAAGAGCAAGATGACGCTTATTTCACTTTTCAGCTTTTATTAACTAACTCAGAGACTGCTGAGCTGGTAAGGTGTGCTGTGGCTCCATCTTTAGGCCGTTTCCTCTCATTACAACGTCAGAAATTCATGTTGCTTCACATTTTCTAATGTAGGAGGAATGATGAACAATCAGGCCTGGGTTCAGTAATGTAAAACAGACTATTTCAGCAACAAGCAAAAGACAGACAGGTCGGTGGTTGGAGAGAAGTCAAGCTCTATTTGATCTTGATGCCGACGATCCTCGCGTCGCCGCTGATGTCAAAGTACTGGTACTTGATGTCTCCCAGGCGGTTGGCGAAGTTTATCATGGTGCCATCGGGGAGTTTGATGTAAAACTGCTCCATGTTCAAGTTGATGTAAAACTGAGTAAGATACAAAGAGACAGAGGAACACGCACAGTTTATCTACCGGCTAACATACTGTTGCACAATAAAAAGATAAGAGAACATGAGTGTACAAAGAATGACTGAAGCAGCGTTTTTAAACACAGACTGATCCTCCAGAGACATACGGCTGTGATCAGCAGCTATTAACTTTTATGAGCCCATAAACTGCTTCTTAATTATGTGTTGAAGTCGTGGTTTTACAGCGCAAATACCAAGCACACTAATAACGTCTTTATGGTGAATGACGGTTTTATATTTGAGCTTGGACTGTCATAAATTCAGCTCTTTGCGAATTATCTGCAGCAAATATTCTCTCAAATACAGCGCAGCAGGTCTGTGTGTGGACTGTAATCACACACACACAAGCTGCTGTGAGCCTTTGTTGTCCAAACAATGATAAAACCATAAGAATATGAGTTCATTCTTTAACAGATTTGCCCCCTAAATGAGATTTGCCAGTTTTGAATGATGCAGGATGTGAAGAAAGTCAGAATGTACGGCAATGTGCTGGAACACGAGTTAAAGCAGCACCTTTCTAGTTGCCACGTTTAACTTTATTATCTAGCTTTATTTAAAATACAGAGACATGGTGACTGTGTGAGCTTTCATTTACCTTGCTGCTTGGTTTTAGCATTTGCTGCATTTTGCACTTGTTGCCGCAGAGTTGGATTACTTTCACGTAATGATTTAGGGGCATAAACATCTTTAGACCATGGGTGTCAAACTCAAATACACAAAATAATTTTTAAAAATGGTACTAAATTGTGGGTCAGACTCGATATTTATCTAAAAATTGACTGGAGTTGTGCATGTTTCTCTCCAGATATTTGATGAGAAACTTTTTCATATGGAAACAAACGTAAGTTTTGCTTGAACATTGAATCTGGAACAAGCAAAGCTTAATATGATGAACACATGAGGAATCTAATTTTAAATAAAATATATATCAGTGGCATCTGTTTATTTGAAATCAAACAAATAAGCTCCTGTTTTTCATCTTTCGTTGGCCATCTTTTCTGAGGGGTGTCTTAGATTTTGACAACTAGAGTTTGCTAATAAATGTCAGCAGAAGGAGAGCATTCTGGGATGTGTAGTATTTCCGGTGCATGCGCTGTATACCGGCGGACCAGCTCTAACAGACATTTGATAATATCTCGCGGGCCATATATAATTACACTGGATTTTGTGATTGCAAATACTTGCAGCCACACACCTTGCACTCCTCCCCGCGTACGAAGGGGAAGCTTGCCTCCCGGCACTCGTCACCCCAGCATCCACCGGACTTGGAGTTGAAGACGATGGTGTTGGAGTCTCCTTGCCAGTCAAAGCGGGGGTTGAAGTGCATGGCTATGTTGTCAGGGTCATGACCGATGTTGATGGCAAAGCTGCAGGAACACAGATGTCAGAGGAGTGTAATGACAAAGGAGGAAGTGGATGAAATGTGAAGCTGCCTCATAGTACGCTGCTTCCTCTTCACCAAATTAACACCTCAAAGCTAAACTGTATGAAGCAGAGAAACCCTTTTTTTTAAGGCTGAGGACTTACGAGCTGCAGTCATCGCTGGGCTTAACGCGGATCTTCAACTCCTGCCCCTCCTTGAATGTCATGTCCTGGATTTTCTGTAAAGAGAGACGGAGAACAGTGACAAAACTGACTGACTAAAACGACTTTTTCTTCAAACAGAATTTACAATTTATAGTGGTAACTCCAATTCACTTCTTGCTAAGAGAGGAGAGCTTTTATAAGATGCAGGGCTGAGTATGAACTCCCTCCTCATTAAAAACCAACAGTATTTGTTAGAGAAATGAGCACAAACATGAATATCAATTTCATTTAAATGATATGTCAGTTTTGGAAAATATCTACAGGTCTTTTTGAGAGGCAAATGTGTTCAATGAAACCCTGTAAAGGAAGAAGTGATGATCGAAGCCGTTCTTATCTTAGCTGTTGATGATCAACCAGGGTGAAACACAGCACTCATAGTTGTAAAAGCACCGAAACAGGAAGGAGCTCTGTTTGTTCCCTGACATGCGATCTTCATACAGAGACAGTAAAACCATAAAGATACGCCTATACAGGGATCTTATGCTGCAATATCAGCAGACACTATAGGGGTGCCACTATCATACTTCCCGACAAAGAGTGAATGTGTGTTCTTGTTTAACAGTGAGTGATTTCAAATATCTGCATTTCACAAACTCTTGTTCACCTCATCAATATATCAATACATTTGTTTCCTACTCTATGTACTGGGCATCCCCTGGTAGCTACAAATCCACCTCAGCATGCTGGCCCCTATACACCTGCACCACACCCACAGATACCTCAGTTCATCCACCTGCACCACCCGTCTCTCAGTGGTTTATCATTGACCTCACAGACAACACGTTGGAGAATATTTGATTCAAGTCGTATTACATTAATCCTACGGGAATTTGAGTCATTCTAATTATTAGGGTGCAGCGTGCACCCGTAGATCATCATCTGCCCTCTGTTCCCTATTAACTAGGCATTAACCATTAACCTGTAATTAATACGTGCTTATCTCAAAGGAATCAAAAAACTCTCAGGATGTTTTTTCTTTTACTCGAAGACGACCAAGTTAATTTCTTAGCAATCCATTTGTTCTCATGAAGTGCTACTTATTAAAACAGTGGCTTAGAAACATTCAAATTGTAGATGTCTTACTCTTGGTCTGCACATCGTTATCATATCACATGGGGGTGTTCAAGGAATCAGTTTCCCCTCACTGACTGTTAATGGTAAACGAAATGTTGATAAAAATAAAAATGTTAACAGAAAAAGGAAGCTATATCAGAATAAAAGGTAGAAAAGGATTTATTACAAACCATTTCTCTCATTTTTGTACATAAAATGAAGCGATCTGATTAGTCTGATAAATTATTGTGCAATCAGAAAGCTGAACTTCTAGACAACAACACACGCTGGATCTCCATTAAACACCACAAGTCTCAGTACAATCTGACTATAGGGTCAACGAGTCACAATGAGCATAGCTGGTAGAATGTCATAGCTCAGGTAACAAATGCAGATATTTGCTCTTGAGGGGAATGAACAGATTTCAAATGAATGAAGTTGTTCCACACCACTCACCATCTTGGCTGTCTTCAGTGGGCTGCGTCTGGAGTGACGGAGCTCTGCAGGCAGGTGAGCGGTTTATATAACAGCAGTGATGTCAGCGGCAGGAAGCAACAGAGGAGGAAAGGTTAAACAATGAGTAACCACGCATAATGATTTTTGAGCCTTAGTGAAACCACTCATCCACGGTTTTGCTTTAAATTATAGAACTGGAAAGTAATATAATATGTCCACATGCTTTGCTTGGTAGAGTTTGACAAAATGCTTGTCAGAAGTCCTGGTGACTGGTCACACAATTTTGCTTTTTCTGCATTTATGGATTTGCTCAGATTGTTGTGTTACATGTGGTAAATAAAAGAGGCAATTTGGTATAAATGTGTGCGTAAGAGATGTATTTTAATTCTTCTAAGTGACACAGCCATGCCCCATGCATTTGTTTTTGACATTTTTTTCTTCTTCTCTAGAATATTATTACTATGACGGTACAAGCTATTATTCATTACAGAGTTCCTCTTTTTCCTCTACAACATGAAACA